ATTAAAATCACAATTACATATTCGGTAACTGATTTTATGAAATTTGTTACAAAATTTCACTTCCCACATCCACTTGGTCCTGCCACAATAGCAGTAAACGGATGTATAAAGTGAAACATTACACACGTCTAAAGTTCTAAGGGGTGAAATAAAAATCGAAAGTGTTGGTGTAAACAATTAATATATATTGTGTACTATAACTAATGTTTTTGGGAAATCAAACAAAATTTATGATTAATTTAAAATTTTATTTTCAAGCAATAACCACTTGTAAAAACCCACACTTCATCACAAGAACAATGTAAAATTTTGTGATTATTTTTTTGCAAATATATGATTATTACACACATAACGTTTGTTTAAATTTATGATATTTACCAAATCATTGTATTTTGGACATTTGTATTCTTCAATATTAAAAATTCTATAATTCGCCGTCAATATTTTTAAAAATTGTTTTTCTGCTGAACCACCTTTGTATTCGATCACTTCGTCTTTGCACAAATTTCTAATGTACCAATTTAATATGGTAATGATGTTCTCTTGTTTGTAGGCACATTTTAATTCTTCGGTCACGTCAAAATATGGAATGCCGTGCACGTGTGTTTCGCAATAATGTACAGTTTTTTTGTCTTTTGGCGACAAATAATTGAAAGGATAACTTGGCCGAAACAAATAATGATCGATAAACGCATAATTTTTATTAGATAGTTTTACGTCTAGAATAGCCATTTCTCTACATTGAAAATGTTTGTGAGGATATGTAATGTAAAATCCGTCCATGTCGATGATGTATCTAATATTTTTTAGATTTTGTGTCATTTTGAACCAAAAAGTTAAAAGTATTTACACGTGACTAAAATATGTTTGTTCCAACAAACTTCACATAACAATGCTTCATTACTTCCCATCATCCCTTCTCTTCCTTCTGCTCTTGTCTTCACATTCACTAATGATCAACTATTGACTGTCATTGTTAAAAAAGTATTTTGAACTTTTTCACTTTCTGCTATTGTCTTTGTATTCAGGGCTAGAAAATGTCCGCTGCGCTGCCTCAATGCGTGTTGGAGAACTTCACATGCCTTCGAAATTTTCTCAAACATACATGTATCCTCACGATGTTGTCCTTCACCGCCGAGCACGTGGTAAATCAACACTTAAAATTGCAATTAACAATTTAATTGGTGCCGGCGGGGATCGAACCCAGGTCGCGTACTGTGAAATTTACAGCTTGCGCTAACCATCTGAGCTACCACAATAATGAATGCGGGAAATAGAGTAAATGGGGCCCTGCAAAGAGTGTGAGTGAGTGGCCCTGTGAAGAGTCAAAATGTGTCAAAAAAGGCACGTATGGCAATTCACAATGCTGTGTTGGTCCCTACTTTAACGTATGGTAGTGAAAGTTGGGTGTGGCAGAAGAAGCACAAGAGTAGAATCAACGCAGTAGAAATGGGGTCCTTAAGGAGTATTTTAGGGTTGAATCTGAACGACAGGGTAAGAAATTGTGTAATAAGAGAAGAGTGTGGTTTGCAAGATGATGTTGTGACCAGGATTAAGAAAGGAATGCTTCGGTGGTTTAGTCATGTGGAAAGAATGAATGAGGAAAGAGTGACAAAGAAAATTTATGTTGCAGAAGTGAATGGCAGAGTCGGAAAGGGACGTCCTAGGCGAAAATTTATCGACCAAATTGGCGATTTATTGAAAACGGGCCAAATTAGGAGTACCCTTAACCAACCTAACGAGCATGTATGCGTAGGTGTATGGATGTGAAGGAGGCGAGAGAGGCGTGTCAGGATCGTGCCAAATGGAAATCTGTAGTCTCTGCCTACCCCTCTGGGTGACAGGCGTGAGTGTTTATGTATGTATGTAAATCATACACACGTAGGAAAATAACAGAAAGAAAAGTAAGTTTGTCAATAGAATAAACACTTACATCCATGGCCTTTGATGCGTTGAAGTAACACAAATGAAGTATTGATAGATCCACTGCGGTCAAACGACCATACACTAACGCCATGACTGCAGTTGCTCGGTCTTATATAGCACCAGTAAGTAATAATTCTAATCTAAAGAATTTATGCAGTGAAACTGGTAATATCTTTATGCGTCAACAAGCTTATCTCACATTCTTTTACATATCTCAACATTCCTTCGTGTTGCATCTCGTTCGATGTATCGATGACTCAAATACGATTTCACAAAGAAAGAATCACAAAGAAAGCGATTTAATATTTGAAATCACTATAGTTGATCATTCCTATGTTAGTCATTGAGTAGATTGGTACTGTAATAATCTACTAATAGTAGTAATATCATAGATACACTAGATGTACGACAACATCTGAAAAAGATTCACCCCAGTCTAGAAAATAATGTTTATGCTGCTAATAGACTGCCCATGTATACCCACGTACCAACGTATATAATATGCAATTTGGATACAGACGATAAACCAGGGTCACATTGGGTAGCTTTATATATCGATACGAATGACGTCGGTCAATATTTTGATTCATATGGACGATCACCTGTACGATATCATCTAGAGTTTTTAAAAAGGAATTGTAAAAGATGGAACTGGAATGTTGATAGGATTCAGAATGAGTGGACTTCAGTTTGTGGCGAATATTGCTTAATTTATTTGCTATATAAGTTTCAGGGATATTCAATGTATAGTTTTACGAGTATATTTACAGGGAACACATTGTACAACGATATTTTAGTGGATGAGATGTTTCGCTACTATTTTATAGATAATAAGTAATAAGATTTTGTATTTTGTAAATAAAAATTGTAACAAAATTAGGTTTGTAGTAGTAGTGTTTTATTGATTATTCAGATTAGCGTTGCAGTTAGGAATAGGCAATGAAGTATAATACAATAGCACTGATAAGCCGACGCACACAATGACGGTATTCAATGAACAATAGATAAATAGATAAGAACAATGGGACGCTAATGACGGTGGAGGCCCTTACCGGATATTAATTAGATATTAGTTAATTGATTTGCACATCTCCGGAACCGTGCATCTTACAAAAAAACGGGCCGCAGATTCGTGATCAGAGCATGCCAAAACTTTTTTTTAGGATCGTGAGTCGACGAACGTTGTACACTTGATAGTGAGCCAGAGTGTGTAAATTGGATACGCAATTTTTATATTACTGAAAGCATGCATTTATTTATATTAATTACATCATTTATGTTCATCAAACTACTCACGGAAACCTAAGGAATTATTTACGTTCAAACATGAATACATAACATAACGCAAAACGTAACGTTTGATTTTACTACCCAAAAATTTTCATAACCCGGGTTTATATATAAAAATTGATTCTTAAGTAGTAAACTCAAAGAATTTTTAATAAAAACTAACAGTCGACTGACATTTTCTAACTAAAAAGAAGGAAATAATTCCACATTCTATTTTATTTCTTATTATATTATATTTCATTAATAATAATTAATTAATGCCTTGAGAAAGAAATAAATAAATTTTCATTTTTATTTTCATTATGAAGTCGGTGCTAATTAGGCATAGCAAATAAGTTTTAAAGCACTTCTGTTGAATGAGATTATCGCCACCATGTTGGTTAAATAAATTGTTTTAAAGTGAAATACATATGTTAAAAAAGGTCCCGCTGGGTTTCTTGCTGGTTCTTTCAAGAACAGAAGTTTTTACGAACCAGTGGTAGATATACATGCCACGACAAGGCATAGGCCGTCTCATTTCTAAAATGTATCTTGAGCTATTAGTCCGCCACGCAGGTCCGGTGCGTATTAGCAGCTTATATGTCTTAGAAATATTTTATTTTTCAGATATGCAGGTTTTCACACTTTGTTTTCGCCCCACTTAAAACTGCAACTAACAATTTTATCGGCTTATTTATTCGAAGAGTTAATTATCATCATAAGATGAACGTAAGTTTGATTTGTTCTTTTAAATTTTTGGAGTCGGTGGTTTTTCTTTCTGTATTTTTTTCAACCTCTTAAGTAGACTAAGGCATATCGCAAGTACATGTTTTCAATGACATCTTAACAGTTGAATTAAAAACTTTACATCCTATTTTGTCACTCTTAGGGGTGGAGCTTTTCTTCCAAATTTACATGGAATTATTCCTGAAGTAACCTTTAATAAAAGTGATAATCAAAATCGGTTCACAATGAACGGAGATATCGCGTTACATACATACAAAAGACGAATTGAGAACCTCCCCTTTTAAAGCCGGCTAAACAAACAGAAACAATAACATTCATCACACCAGTGAAAGATCTAGCTTGTAAAACCTACAAAGCGTTCAAGCTAACAAGCCTTAATCTACAAAGCGTTTAAGTTGTAACGCTAAAGTATTTTTTTATTGTGTGGAAGCAGGTATGCAGGTCTAGGAAAAAAGACCAGTATCACTGCGATCTAAGATATCTATTATGATCACTGCTATGGCTACAGTTCACTGCTAAGCCCTATGTCTTCAATGAATAGACGGAGTTGCTTAGCTGTGAGCAATTTCACTTCTTCTGGGCGGAGTATATAGTTTTCTAAATGAGTATTACGTTTGCGCATTAAGGGTCCACAATCAGTTATGATGTGCAGAGGCGTTTCTTCCGTTATGGAACAGAACCGGCACATCCTTGAGTTGCTTAGTCCCAGGAGGTACATGCGCTTGTTAAGACAACAGTGTCCAGTAAGGGCTCTTGCCAAAATGCGCCATTAATTTTTACTTAATCCCAGAGCTTCTGAAGCAAATATAAGATCAAAAGCCCGGATTAAGGTTAAGAATGTTTTAAGCCTGGTGTGAACGCTAGAGTAACAACTCGAAATAACTTCCAATGATTTTCAATTTACTTTTATATATCTTCTGCTACTACCAAAAATTAAAACAATGGAAATGTGTTAAAGGAACATGAAAATAAAGTTAAATGGAATTGAAAAGTTTACAAAACTAAGAAGTAGGTATTTTTAGAAGCTAAAAGGATATGAAGTTGTAAGTTGCTTGTACCTGCACACAGAGTTGTATCAGAGGTGAGTTTGTGGAAATCCAGCTTAGAAGCTCGACAATCAGTGGTACTAACAATGGGCAATCTAATCATGCGGGGTTCTCCATGCCCGCCTTTACCAATTTCGTTGTCTCCCCAACCAGTGACCTGTAAAATATAAATGGAAAACATCATCCTTTATAATATAGAATGGCTGGAGGACTTCAACATTATGCTTAATCAGCTCAATTATGTCTGGCAAAGAATAGTCCTTAAAATGAACACGGACAAAACAAACACTAAGTGCACCGTCCATCTTACACACTTTTGTCGATACTATTGAAAGCACTACGCTTGAAGATGTTGACGAGTATATTTACTGCTATTCTGCAGATTTCTGGTCTGAAGGGTATAGAGAGCCAGTATAATAATTACAGGTTGCGAGGCGTTACATATTATTATCTTAGTCCATAGGCTGTAACTTTAATTAAAAAAAGGATATAAATGGAGTGATATAATGACGGGTTTTTCACATGGAAAAATATTCAAATTAATAATTTTACCTGTCGATGTGACAGAGAAAGAGTTGTTGTATTCTTTTTGTTATTAGAAAAAGCTTTTCAGATTAGTAATTTATCAATAAGCAGTGAAGCTTAAAATTACCTATTTAAAGATGGAGATACTCAATTATAAGCTTACAAATAAAGATTATGCCATCAAAAACATAACTTGTTAAAAAACCAAGTCTCGCAACTCAGTTCTTCTACCGTAAAAAGTTGTAAGATCCATGTAAAACCAAGTCGGTTAATTTATTCAGTGCCTACTTAAGGGTCCTTCTGTTTTAAGTTTTTACGTAATTAGCTAATCCAACAACATTTTATAGTGACTATATCAATGTCAAAGATCTTTTATGTTTTGAATATATAGATTGACTTGGCCATCGCATGAAAACACAATGTATCTCACGAGTAATACATATTATATTAAATTAGATTGCTTAGTGCGATTGCCAAGTCAATCTATATATTTAAACCATAAAAGATTTTTAACATTGATATGGTCACTATAAAATGTTGTTAGGTTAGCTAATTATGTAATAACTTAAAACAGAAGGACTCTTAAGTAGTGACTGAATAAATTAACATAACTTAAAATTAACTTAACCTTAACTTAAAATTAAAATACATGGATCTCACAACTTTTTACAGTAGAAGAACTGAGTTGCGAGACTTGTTTTTTTACAAGTTATGTTTTTGATGGCAACTCATTTATTTTTGTAGATAAGATAGTCCTACTTTTTTACCTTTCCGGTACCTTCCACTTCTTGAATACCAACAACGTACCTATCTACACCTATTTTAATATACAAGTACACTTGTTCAATCACTGCAAATGTAACTTTGTAATTACATATATTTATATGATATTACAAGGTTATTTATGCAGTTGGTATATCTAGAAAACTGGACCGAAATTAAAAAATATTTTTGTTTTTCCTTAATTTATATACTAAATCCTAATTGTATTTTAAATTTGAAGCTTCTATGTCTACTAAAAGTACCTTAGAGTTTTGATGATCGGTCAGTCAGTGAGTGACAAAATTAAGAAACTTTGACTAGTTATAATTCTTTAACTACTGGTTCAAATTAATTGAAATTTGAAATATACCATTTTTATACAATGGCTACTTGGCTAAATTCAGTCTTCTATGTCTTATAGTTTTATCCACTATGAAGTTATCATCATCACCATCATCATCATCATCATCACAGCCCTTCAAAAGTCCACTGCTGAACATAGGCCTCCCCCAAGTAATGCCACAAAGCACGGTCCTGAGCCACCTGCATCCATCGACTTCCTGCATGTCTTACCAGGTCGTCACTCCATCTAGTGGGGGGTCGTCCTACACTACGCCTACCGGTACGAGGCTGCCACTCGAGAACCTTTCTTCCCCATCGGTTATCGGTTCTTCGAGCTATATGGCCGGCCCATTGCCACTTCAGCTTACTAATCCGTTGGGCTATGTCGGTCACTCTGGTTTTACTGCGGATATCCTCATTTCTGAGTCTATCACGCAGTGAAACTCCGAGCATAGCCCTCTCCATAGCTCGCTGAGCGACCTTGAGCGTCCTCATACGGCCAGCGGTGAAGGACCACGTCTCAGATCCGTAAGTCATCACTGGCAAAACGCACTGGTTATACACTTTAGTTTTCAGAGATTGAGGTATACCTGACGAGAAGATGTGTCGTAATTTCCCGAACGCTGCCCAGCCGAGTTGAATCCGTCGATTGACCTCTCGGTCGAAGTTGGACTTACCAAGTCGGACTATTTGTCCTAAGTAAACGTACTCGTCAACAACTTCGAGTATAATGCTCCCAACAACTACCGGCATAGGTGTGACATGGACATTAAACATGATCTTTGTTTTGTCCATGTTCATCTTAAGACCTATCCGTTGGGAGACACCATTGAGGTCATTGAGCATAGTGCTAAGGTCCTCCAGCGATTCTGCCATAAGAACTATATCGTCGGCAAATCGAAGGTGAGTGATGTACTCGCCATTGATGTTAATACCGTATCCTTTCCAGTCCAGTAGCTTGAAAACGTCTTCCAATGCAGCGGTGAAGAGTTTCGAGGCTATAACATCACCCTGTCTTACACCTCTCTGCAGTTGGATAGGTTTCGTACTCTGGTTCTGTACTCGGATAGCCATCGTAGCCCTACTGTACAAACACTTCAGCACTTCAATATACCGACAGTCAACTAGGCACCGCTGAAGAGACTGTAGCACCGCCCAAATTTCGACGGAATCAAAGGCTTTCTCATAGTCCACATACGCCAGGCAAAGTGGCAGATTGTACTCTTCGGACTTCTGTACAATTTGCCGAAGGGTATGTATGTGGTCTATGGTACTGAAGCCTTTTCGGAAAACGGCTTGTTCGGGAGGCTGGAAGTCGTCGAGTCTGCGTGCGAGACGATTCGTAATGGCTCTCGAAAACAGCACGTAGACGCGGCTCAGAAGGGAAATCGGTCTGTAGTTCTTCAAGAGAGCGTTGTAGTGCCACCATGGAGGACGGAATTGAAGAGCGGAACGTGGTAGAGCCATGCTGCAGTTATATTAGTAGTATAGTTGTAGCACGAATGGGTCGGCTCGACCGGGGAAGGACCACGCTCTCACAGAATACCAGCGTGAAATAGTAGCTTAATGCTGCTGTATTTCGTATGGTGAGTGTAGAGAACCGGAGACCCTTTTTACTGAAAATGAGGCATTCCATCTCGGTCCTCACGGGTGATAACGCATCTGCATTTTGATTTGTAATGGAAGATAGATGTAGATGTCTATGGGCCGCAGCAACCACTTACCATCAGGTGAACTGTGTGCTCATTTGTCAGCCTATTCTATAAAAAAAAGCTTCTGAAGGACTTCAAGTACCGGTGTTCCACCCGCTTTCAGAAGCTCCGCTGTAATTCCATCCTCGCCCGGGGTCTTACCGTTTTTAAGGTGGTGGAGAGCTATTCTAATCGCGCTCAGACTGACGTCCGGGATATCATGGGAATAGTGTCGTTGATGTTATAGGAGATGGTGGGAGGGATGAAGTTATAGGAGGTCAAAAATGGTCTGAATTGCAGAAAAGTATGGTACGGCCGTGCCGCTTTTTTGCTCGACTTGGCGGGGGGGGGGAGTACTGCCGTGCCCCCAGATTAGTTATTAATTTACGTTAAAAAAGTACCCACCACTCCAGTTTGGCCGACAATTCGATTTAAATCGGGATTGCCACCCCATAAGCAAGCTGGTTTGATGTTGTTATTAAATTGTACCGATTGCTCCAGTGTGAACAATGCTATATCATCTGCAAAATTAATTTCGATATAATTCTGATAATAGTGACTAATAATTAACTCATAAATTAGCTGATGTACGGATTTAATGCCACATATTTGTGATAGATAACTGACACAGTTAAGTGGATTAGAAATTTTAATTATTAATGTATGACTGGAAACCGCACTCGTAGATAGAAGAATTTTTAATAGACTAAACCTACCTTCTCAACTTTTTGCCTGTTAAGCGATACAAATTTTTTAGTATTAGGTTTTTTGTTGTATATTTAGTAATATAGCGAAAATTATTCTCACGCGATAAATTTGTTTTGTTGAAACCTTCGTGTATAACTGCTGATTCAAGCTTTCGTATTAACACTTCAGCGCCCCAATCGTCTAGATTGTATACTCCCACTTTCACTACTATAATTGATGTATCCTTGTTATGTATACAATGCGCAGCTGTAAGCAAAAAAAATAGTTTACTAATCTCTCCAAAAGAGGAGATGACAACGAATTTCCCAAGATGAACCTTGATTCTTAAGATGCATTTCCCTTCTGTAACTAAATTCTAAAAAAATCTAACTGAAATTTATATTGATAAAAAGAAAATCTCATTAAAAAGTCATAAAAGTTACCTGTGATAACATGTTTGTCCGAAACCAAAGTACCAGAACACACAAAGCTGAGTGTTCGGTCTTTATTCTGATAAATAGCAACTAGCCAAGGCCACTCGCCGCGAGAGTAGCTCTGACCGTGCCAAATAAGAGCAACTCCTCTTTTTGCTTTTCCACATTGTACGATTGAAGGATCTTCAAACTCCGGAATATCAGTCCCAGACAATGGAGCCTTAGGATAAGAATTTCTGTGGAGAATATATTATATTTTTGTATTCGACGTCACTGTCATATATTGCTCTTAGTTAATGGTACTGAAATTCTAAACCGATATACTGATCAGGTAATTTTAAAGGCCGTTATTTTCTCATCTCTTAAACGGCAAAAGATTTTGTGTCGTATTCTTTTGAAGAATGATTTTTCATGAGTATATATTATTTTTTAATTATGGCCAACTCGCTTGCCACGCATGGCAGTGTTGGCAAATTGCCCTGCGTGAGGCAAAATAGTCTAGTTTAGGAATGAAATTTGATAGGCTGCTATAATAAACAAGTGAATTCTTTTGAAGAATTTCAAAATTTACGACTGAATTTAGACAAATGCAGAGTCCGTGTTGTCGTAATATCTAAACGAAAGGTTTTCATTAAGCTGTAATTATTTCTAACCCCTCCAAAAATATATAATTTTAAATGTTTTAAACTATATTAAACATTTAGTCAGCAAAACAATAATAGTTCTTTTCTAGTACATTGTAATAGTTCTGACATAGATGCAAAACTATTTCTTATTTCTATATCTCTGAATGTGGGAAAAAAGAAGAGTTTTATCAAGTGCGCGATTTAGAAAATTTTGAGAAAAGGGACGGTTTCACTATTATAAAAGATTGGATAAAAATTAGAGACAAGATACTTTTTTCAAAAGAGACACAGGCTAATTATTCTTACCCAGCTACACCAGTTACTGGTCCTGGCCACGTCATGGCTTCGTGCTGCGATTGTATTTGCTGTGGTTGCAGTTGGTGTGATGGCCATCGTCTTGGAGGGTCCGAAAATGTAACTTCTTCAGGGTAAAACTGTGATTGTGGTCTATTAACGCTGTTTATTATGTTTGATTCTGGCCGCACAAAATGAGTGGCATAATAGTCTGAAAAGAAAATTATGAATGCATCCTCACTCAGTCATTTGATATATATATATATATATATATATATATATATATATATATATATATATATATATATATATATATATATATATATATATGTTTTTATAGTAGGGTATAATAACAGCGTGTTATAGCAGCATGACGTTGTTTAAGTATGGTGTATATTGTACGATCTGGTTGTAACGAGAACCAAACTAAAAGTCATCGTTAATTTAAAATTTACAAGACATTCCATCTTAGCTCTTAGGGATGACACCGCACAGTTGACTCTTTATTTTCGTTGACAACGGTTTTCTTTGACGACTGGTTTGCTATGTGCTGAGTAAGCATACCCAATGTAACTTTAATAATGTGTAATGAACCCATATTGCAAAAACTCAAAATAAATTGTAATTTAAACTTATAATTGAAAACAACTTATATTTAAATTACACATTACTTACGCGTTGTCTTAAAAGTAGTTTGATCAACATACGAAGACGGTGTTTCGAAGCCATTCCCAACATTGTTAACATAATTTGTTTGGGTTGCCGAGATGTTGTGTTGCATTTGATAAATTAAATTTGCTCCAGACTTTATGAACAAAGTGTGCCCAAGTGTTATTGTTGTCAAATATTCATTTGATGCGGGAGTATCTGTAATAAAATAAGTTGGCAAATTATTATCAAGGTATTTCATTAATTGAATAATTCATTAATCTTTGGTTCATAACATTTTATTCCTATAATCATTATGTGTAGTGTGTATATAATAATAATGTCCTCAAGATCGAATTTCGGCCACGGCGGCCTGCCTCAGCGGAGGCTAGCCATCGACGATGGACAGGATTATAGAGCCCAAGTGTATGCGCAAGCACAGGTGCACTCTCTATTCCCTCGCGTTGATTGTCGTCTGCTATGGGACTACTTTTATTCATCCCATGCAGGTTTCGGGCCTCGGGGAAACCCCCATTACCCGGGTGATCCTCACGGCTCATGACAATGAGCCGGTCTTGGGAGCCGTACCAGTACGGCATCGTTGGCTATCTTGGTTGGCGTATTGCGCGCCACCAGGTCGGTGCTACCGGAGGGTCGGCCGTCTCGAAGCCCCGCGGAGTCCTGAGGATGGGAGTCGACGCAGGGCCAATCTTGCCGACGGGAGGGCGCTCCAACAGCAGCTGCTCCGGGCCTCCAGTGCTCCTTCCTGGCTCTAGTCGAAGGCCTGGCATTCCTAGGCAAAAGGTTGGCGTGTCTCGCGCCTCTGGGAAGGGAATCTGCCGAAGAGTCAGCAACCTCAAGGTTCCGCGGAGAAGCATCTGAGCCGAAATCGCCAACAGGCGCGCGCACTTGGGTGCGCCGGGCCTTCGGAGTTCGCTTCCCAGCGTGTAGGTTAAGCGCAGTGTTGGGTGATCTTCATCCCGGGTGGGGTCAGCGGCGTCCTCAAGGCTCGACGCAAGCCGAGTTGGCCCCACAGCGCGCACCCACTGCGAAGCGACGCGCTGTACTTCTCCCACCTGGGCGGGAGTCGACGACCGGCAGACGTGACCGCTCGTTGGCGCGGTCCGGACGAGACTTTCTATTCCCTCACTCTCATAATCCGATGGGACGGTAAACCGACACGACCGGAGAGAGATCAGGCGCAGGACCAATGGCTTTACGTGCTTTCCGAGGCACGGGGGTGAGACACCGCCAACTTCCTGACTCCGGGCAACTACTGAGAATTTCTTTACGGAAAAACTTAATAATTAGTTTTTTTTGGCCCGACCCGGGATTCGAAACCAGGACCTTATGATCAGCAGTCGTACTACTACAACCACTAGACCAACGAGGCAGTCAAGTGTGTATATAATGACGTGAGGTAATGACCTCTACGAGGATAATTATTATAGATGTCTACGAATAATATCAGGCACATGTGTACGGCAGATTCAACTTTTGTTATTCTTAAGAACATCATCACCATTCATCATTATTACAGCCCATCAAAAGTGCACTACTGAACATAGGCCTTCCACAAGGAATGCCACAAAGCACGGTCGTGAGTCACCTGCATCCATCAACTTCCGGAATGTCTTACGAGGTCGTTACTCCACTTTACACTTCGCCTACCGTTACGAGGCTTCCACTCGAGAACCTTTTCTACCCATCGGTTGTCAGTTCTTCGAGTTCAGTATCTTGCCATAGTTGCCACGCTCGGCGAGCGAGTTGGCAACCGCCGTTTCTTTGTTGTTGTACAATTGGTGTTATCAAGAAGGTGCCCATCTCCTGCCTGTTTCCCTCTGTCGTCTTTTACGACACTCACGGGAAGAAATGCGGTAGTGGATATTCTTAACCGCCACTACACGACACGCGTTTTAAAAAAATTATAAAATATTTTAAAGAACTGTAAAATAAATTATCGAAAATAGATAATAAGAAATTCGCTTCATTTTAGCTAACTAAAAAGAAGTATGAAATTTATCACATCAGATCAGACATCTTAAATGTTTTAAACGGTCACTGTTTGGTCTATTAAATAAATTAACGTCCTCTATAACGAATTTCGGTCAATGAGACCAGCCAAGCCAAGTCGGGCACTATAATACGCATGATAGTATTATAGTGCCCGACTGTATGTGCCAGCATAACTGCACTCTCTGTTCCCCCACTCTCATATCCAATGGAATGGTTATCCGACACGACCGGAGAAAGATCAGGTGTTAGATCAATAGCTTTACGTGCTCTCCGAGGCATGAGTGTGAAGCATCACCAGTTGTCTGACTACGGGCAGCTACTTAGAATTTCTTGACAGAAAAACCTAATCACTAATTATGGCCTAGTCCGAGATATGAACCGAAGACCTCATAATCAGTAACCGCGTTTACGTCCACTAGACCAAAGAGATGAGAGAGATTGAGAGTCTATTAAATAATAAAAAATAAACTAATAAGAATTTAATAAAAGGTAATGTAGGTATATATTTTACTGAATGTTAAAATGAAAAAATAAATTACCTGGGTGAGCAAAGCAAAGTATATTGTCATTGACATAGAGCGCAGTGAGCTTTGGGAGCGGCGAACTCAAGGGAAAGTTAACCCTGTATGTTATAGGCATTCCCCTGTTATATTCCTGGATAGCCCGCTCTCGCCCATAAGGTTCGATGCTCCCGACATAATCCTGTAAAAATTTAAAACCAAAAACTTAAAGATTTTTTTCTTATTAAATCAGATTTTCTGTAATTCTCTCTACTCCATCAGCCCGTTTAATGTGTTTATGTGTCTCTCCTGTTTTACAGGTTGTGTTCCATGGATCTTGGCAGGCGGGTCGATGATAGCAGTAACGTAAAAGTAACGATGATAGACGTTTCGCATCTTTGACGCTCAAGAAAATTGTTAGGTTACATTATATAATAGCTGCGAAATCAAATATTTCACTTAAAGCATTTGAGTTAGCTTAAGGTGTAAATGAAATGTAGTGGCCACGTACCATCAGCTGAAAAGGAACAGAATTTTATACGTGATAGAGACACAGTTATATTATGGATGTAGCGCGAATGGGTTGGCTTGATCGAGGTACGACCACACTCTCATAGAATATCTACGTAAAATAGCAGCTCAATGATGTTGTATTTCGTATAGTGAGTGTAGAAAACCGGAGACCCTTTTTACTGGAAACGAGGCATTCCATCTTAGTCCACAGGGTTGACAACGCATCTGCATTTTAATTCTTAATCGAGGATAAATGTAGTTGTTTAGGGGCCACAACATCCACTTATCATCACGTGGACTGCGTGCTGGTTTGTCACCCTTATTCTATTTAGAAAATTAGAGAAGAAGTAGCGTGCATTCTAATTTAAATAAAAAAAAAACATTATTTGTGAGATTAATAAATGTATTCAATGTTGTATTTGCATGAATTCATACATTAATATTAACAGTTTATTAAAGGTTCACTATAACCACTCGAATGTCGGGGTCATTTTGGCAAATATGGCTCATCTGTCGAGCACTTTCCGAAGTACTAAGTAAGTATATAACAAGTATACTAAGTATATATATATATATATATATATATATATATATATATATATATACAAAACTATGCTGATATTTGCTATCTTGACATTACCGAGGAACAGCTTAATAAGCTTGGGCGCATTCAAAATTTATGCATTAGATTTATATTTGGGCTTCGCAAATATGATCATATCTCCGAATTTCGCAAACAGCTCAAATGGCTCCCGATCCGCCTTTACAGGAATACTCAGATTCTCTCCGCGTTGTATAGTGTGCTGTTTAATCCTTCTACTCCTCTTTATTTAAAAAACCGTTTCCAGTATCTTTCTCTTACCCATAATCGGTTCCTTCGATCCTCCGTCAATCTTTCTCTCTCTACACCTCTGCACTCTTCTTCCTTTTTCAAGAAATCCTTCACTGTAACCGCTGTGCGATTGTGGAACTCCTTACTTCTCCATATTCGTCGTGCTAAATCTCTTCACTCTTTCAAAAGTCTTGTTAAATCGTAATTAGATAAATTACTTTACCTTTCTCGTACTCTTTTTATTTAATCTATTATATGATATTTTATATATTACTTTCACTTATTTTTATATGTATGTATTATTATATTATTATATTTTTTTATTATTATTTTGTATGCCCCGCTCTATTTGTAACTTTTGTTTGCATCATTCCTCTATGCAAAGGTTGTCTGGAAGAAATCACTTTCAGAGTGATAAGACCGCCTATTGTACATACTTTAATTAGTTTTAACTATTATGATATTTCTGTATTGTGGTGTACAAAAAAGAATAAATAAATAAATAAAATAGTTTCCTATCAATCGACGCCATATTATGGCGTTTGACAAATGCGCATATTATTTGAGACGCCAGAATATGGCGTTTGGACAGACGAGGGGTTAAGCTATGGAGAATATAGGTCTCCTCCATTGCCGTATATTGGCCTCATGTGTGTGCTGTTTTGAACTGTTTTGAGCTGTAAAGCTGTAATGTTTTAGTTTCCTTCGATCGCTTTACGACACCTCCTCATCATCGTAAAGGTTAGTGGATTCTGTAACGACAACACGGCATTTTTTTATATAAACTACTGAAATAAAAGAAACAAGGGGATAATGATTTATCTGTCATACAACACTGGGTGACGTGAACGGTTGTGATAAATGCGATTAAATAATTTATGTATTATTAGATGAAAAGTTCATTACCAATAAACTACGTGTTCTTAATTCATAAACGTCAGTAAGCGAGGAGTACTTATTAACTAAAAATATATTTACTAGTACATAAATAATTTGCAAGTTTGAGTTACGATTTCTAATCGATCGAAGCTTAAAGTAGTAAATGCGTCAGTTTTTACTTATTCGCCGATTTTATTTGGCTTATTAATCTATTTATTTTTACCCAAATTAAAACTCTTCAAGATTTGTAATTCTACAACGCGTTCGCTCTCAGTGCAAAGTCAAGTAGTCGTAGTAATAATTATGTAACTGTCCTATACGGGAAGGAACGAGGTTGCGAGGTTTATTTCATACCTTCAAACTTGATTTAACGGTAACGTTATACTCACAGAATACTGTTATTCCCGGTGGAGCTCTGGATCACATTTAGTGTGTTTTCGAGGGCAAATAACGGACATATAAGTTAAGACCTTTCGCATTAAATTATTTACGAAATATAGTAGTAAAATGACTCATTACTAACACATACATAAGCAAAAATATTGTATTCGCTGTTTTAAGATTAGTCCATGTTTTGATATGTAGGCATAGAGTTCGATTCTGATTTTCAATTTGCGTATATGCTTATGTGCGTGAAGAGTTTACTGAAATTATTTTATTAGTTTATGTTAGATACTGATAACACCGAAAATTGAGCTACCGAGTAGTAGTCACCCTAATGATCGCGAGTCTCCTATCACCAAGGAAATTGTTACCAAATGGAAATTTGATGTCTGATTGAACGGATAGTTGATTTGTAGCTAAATCATTATCGTACAAGCGGATTCCTTCATAAATATGTTTCTTTTAATTACGTAATATTTAAGTAAAAATTATAACATATATTCAGATCTCTTTTATTATAAATACATTTTATATCAATTGACTACAAATTAGTTTTTTCCTAAAAACGTAATGGCATTGAAATTATCTAAACAGTTTCGTCAAGACCAAGCGGCCTACACGGAGAGTGCAATATTTATGATTAAACATAACATTAAGTAAATATTGTACCTGTATTAGTTTTGTATATTATATTAATACAATTCTGTGCACTGTATGTTTCGTCTTAATGTTTATTACCACCAGCATATTTTTAAATGTTTATACTTCGTCTAATTTAAAACTACACGCGCTGCTCTTAAATTTTTAGTATATTTTGTAGATTCCAACTACACCGACTATTATAATAGGTCGGGGAAAAAGTTTTTTCGTATTTTGTTTATAAAATTGAAGAAATATCTACTTGGTTGTACTGTTTGTGTCTTGCTGGTTTTGATATGAATATAGGACATTAAAGTAAGAACATATAGGTCATCAAATTTTATTACAAAAAAGGGAAAAATGCGACTGAAGCCACGAAAAAAGTTTTCTACGTTTATGGACTTAATGCGTGTACACGTAAGAGTAGCACAAAGTTGATTCAAGCGTTTTCGGTCCGGGGATTTCGATGTCAAAGATGCAGCTCCCTCTGGTCGCTCTCATAAGGATAGTTAACGCCATTTTTGAAAAAGAGGAGCAAGATCAACATGTTAGTATAATGATTTCTTAAATTTACGCGAACACTAGACATTGAATAAAACTATTATTTACGGATTTTATCGCGTTTATTTACAACTTAAATTTATTTTTATTATCCCGACGTTTCGGGTGCTTTACATGGTCACGGGGGGACTGAGATGTTTGACGTCCCAATGTCATAGTTAGTCTGGCTACCTTCAGTTTTTGAATATTAATTTTTGGTCCGATTACGCAAAAGAGTTATAGTATATAAAGTATTGCGTGGTATGCTGGTTTGGGTTTAATTTTGTTTTTGGATCCCAAGCAGATGGCAGCACCCATCCATCTTCTCTATTGAAATTTGGATGTTTTTTAATTTCAATAGCCTCGCGTATCATTCTTGATAGGAATCGGTGTTCTTATGCGAGGATTTGTGGTTTATCAAATCTTATGTAATGGTGGGGACGATCTTGAACATGTTCGCAGACTGCAAACTTCCCGGAGCGTCGGTGCTTCACGTCAGCTATATGTTCCTTCACGCGGGTTTTTATATATCTTTTTGTTTTACCTATGTAAGATAGATCTCTCTTACATAGGTCAAACAAAATAGGCCATCTGCTTGGGATCCTATAATTAACAAAATTAAACCCAAACCCGAGCATACCACTGCAAGATTTCATGATACTATAAGCTCGTTTTGCGTAAATCGGACCAAAAATTAATATTTAAAAACTGAAGGTAGCCTCAGACTATGCAAAAATTCTGGACATTTTTGAAAATATTGATACCTGGTGATGAAAAGTGGATCACCTACGACTAGAACGTGTAAAAAAGATCATGGTCAAAGGGAAGTCCAGCGCCACAGACTGGATTAACACGCAACAACGTGATGCTGTGTGTATGGTGGGATTGGAAGGGCGTCGTTTATTATGAGCTTTTATCGCCGAGTTCAAATCTCGATTCAAATCTCTTCTGCCAACAACTAATGAGACTCAAGCAAGAAACTGAGACAAAACGGCCGTAATTGATAGACAAAAAAGGAGTTAGGCCACTCAGCAAAAATTGAGAGAGAGTTTGGTTGGAAAATGTTAATGCATATATAGTCCTGACCTTGCACACTCAGATTTTTACCTGTATCGGCCTCCTCAGGATTTTTCGGGTAGTGTTATAAGGTTAACATCAAGAGAGCTTTAGGTTAACCCTACCTAACTGACAAAATTACTTGTTGCATTTTTTTAATCAAAAATCCCAAGATTTCTACAGCAACAGGATTATGTCACTACAAGATGGAATATATTGAGTAAAACAGCCATAACTGATCAACAGAAAAGGAGTGGTCTTTCATCATAATAACGTCAGACAACATACATCTTTGGCCACTCAGTAAAAATTGAGAGAGGTTGGTTGGAAAATTTTAATGCATCCACCATTAGTCCTGACCTTGCTCCTTCAGATTTTCACCTGTGTCGGGCTCTTCAGAATTCAGAAAAATTGTTAAAACTACGTGTCGTATTTTTTTTGATCAGAAATCCCTAGATTTCTACAGCAACGGGTTTATGTCATTACTTACAAAATGGCAACGAGTTATCGAACATAATGGCACATATATATTGTATATAAATGTAATTAAACTTTAAAAAATAAATGTCTTGCATTTGTTTATAAAATACGAACAAACTTTATACCCGACCTTATAAAAACGTCAATTATAGCAATAATTTGTTGCAATGTTTTCAGAATTTTTCTGCCAC